CACCTAATATATCATGCATTGTGACATCAAATAAATACCATGTAGATAGCCACTATGTGTTTATACGCTATTGTCTGTACGGGTGCCTCCGAAGCAATCAAATTAATCAATTCTAAATCAGATACTAGATAGATAAATTACTAAAACCATATTTTTTACGTTTCTTTCATATAAAAGCGATTTAGGAGCCAAAATGTGTCAAATGAAGCAAGCAGTGTCACACACAGCAGATGTCTGCAAGCGGGTGTTGTTAACTGCCGCAATCAGAAATACCCAAGTTTGTTATACAGACCCTAAAACAAATATATCCAAGAAAATTCATGCAAGCCTAGAATGTTCGGGAGGTCTTAATGACCACGGTTTCATTTCTGAAAATGAAGAAAGTCTCTGGGTTCCTTTTCACTATATTTTATTATTCAAATTTATGTCTGTAAAATATGTTCATTTCAGAGACAAGATGTTAGTTTATAAATATCGTCGATAACGAGGTTGTAAATAATGTAACTGATGTAGTTTTGACCAGACATGGTACTGAATTAAAACATCAGCAACAAACCATGACATCAGGTCACGATGACATGATAGCAATATTGACCACCCAATCACCTTTAGTGGCTCTTATGAAGAACACCCTTAGAGACTACCAATTCCCGTAACACTAACCTTTCCCTGGACTTGAAGCTAGTATACCATCAGCCTTATACAACACAATATCTACATCTCCCTTGTAATATTTTAGACAAGTAACTGAATTCGTTTACAGACAATAGTATTAATTTATATATTGAAATAAAATGGGTTTCCTTATTGGTCATGCCTTGATATCAAGTGGGGATGATGTATCTTTTTGCAATTGTATTGAATCGCCTAGAGGATTTAAAAAATAGTATTCTTTGTGTTACGTACATCAAAAACCAGCTAAAACCCAACTCTCTCCCTCTGCAAGCGGATCAAAGCAGGTAAGGTACAGCGAATATCGAGATACCATGGTCCACGATATGAATCATGCCCCTCTACTTTTCGTCGATGCAGAGATTCATGATGACATGAAGAAATGGCAATACCGTTCCCTAAAACAAAGTTTCTTTGAATATTTATCTATAAATGATATACCATTGCGAAAGGAACACAAAATGGTCAGCAACAATCAGCCTACACATTATCTCTGAAACGCCATGACATGACATTACTCCGTCTAGAAGCAGGGCCATATGGCTCAAATTGGCGCATGAGTTATATATCAACATTCTTTAATGATGCCCTGGCACCTTTAAGACTGTGCAGCGCAAGGTCACGTGGTGCAACCCTAGTCGTAGTTTCAGATGAGAGAGCATTAAATCCTTGGGGTAATGAATCCAGCTTTAGCAAAAAAACATATAATTATTAAATCAATTGACTCTTTTGTTGGGGTGAATTATACATGTCATATATCTCATACGATTATCTCATAACTTCTGTCGAGAAACGACACGCCTCGACAACAATACACATGAACAGTCCCGAATTCAGTTCACCGGCCTCAACAATGATCAAGTACTACTTTGTATACCTTCAATAACAAACCTTTCGCTGTCTAATGTAACGCCCCTTAACCTCGTACAGGTCATTTTGTGGGGAGAGAGTGTTTTTCATTAGCCATAAGCTTGGTAAACATCATCAAACTCACTCTCGAGTCTCCGGACCACGTCAGCTGTTAGATAGTTTCGTAATATGGTGAACGTTGTATTTGTCAGAATTCTTTGGGAGCTGTGTGTTCTGCTCTTACTGACCAGCTCGACTGTTGTCACATGTTTACCCTGCTGAAGGAGACCAGCTCCGCCTATGGTCTTATGTTTACACTGCTGGAGGCGTCCAGAAAAGCCCAAGTGCCAACTGCCATTGAACAAGCTACCCGAACACAGAAACACCGGTCATTTACTGGTTGCCAAGAGCAACGCTGTCAGATATAGGTACATACGGTCCACTTCCAGGTACTTGGATCATCAATATCGCATTACACGGCATTGCAAAAACATCCCAAATATAATCGCCAAAATAATAATCCAAAAGCAATCTGATACTACTTCTTATATAGATAGGATCAGTTTGTTTAATGTTTGCAAACAAGTGTATTTACAAAATGTTTGATCTGAACAGAGTTTTTACGAACTTTATACTTTTTATTAGCCATTATGCCTTTGATATTGCTTGACGTACAGTACGTATAACACGATATGACGTAACAGTATTAGGCAGATATAAATGATTATAGAAGGGTTGCTTGTAGAATGATAATATATCTCTATCAGTTAATCAGTACCAAGCAAGGTAGAAATACAATCACGGTTCGTTTTAATTCACTTTTCGTTTTACATTCTTCGTTGATATACTTCCTGATAATAGAAGTAGGAGGTTCGGATTGGTCTGGTATTGGCAGGTTGTCTAATTTGTCAGATTTTGTCCTAATCAATTTCCCATCTAAGTTCCACAAAACTTCGTACTGTATTCCAAATGTCAAATGGATATGCGACATGACGTACATTAGGACGACTTGTAAAGGATATTTTAGGATATCATCTGGTCTGTCCATTCTTGTCCAAAACACATTCTGTCAATACGTATCATCTTCTAAGTTGTATATCTCGTGTATACACAGCAATACCCAACTATACTCATGCCAATAATGGTTGTCAACCCCCTCCCTACCCCAACCCCACCCCACACACACCTCACCCCAACCACCCGACACCCCCTCTCCAATTAAAAAATTAAAAAAATTGAAGGGGGTGACAACCATTATTGGCATGAGTATACATGATGGCAGTGTGTGAATAATTATGTCTGAACCAGACAATCCGGTGATTGACATCATAAGCATCGTTCTACACAATTGGGAACCGATGGCATGTGTCAACTAAGTCAGCGAGCCTGAGTACCCGATCCCGCTAGTCGCCTCTAACGACAAGCATGGGTTGCTGAGGATCCATGCTTGTCGTTGCTTGATGCTCATAGTGTCAATCACTGGATTGTTTCATTATGAAACCACCGTCATATAGATGGCGTCATATTTCTGTGTGCAGCGTTAAACAATAATCTGAGAAAAACAAATACAGAAAATACGTTAGCCTGTATTCTGAATTTAGCTGAATAATTCACTATAGGCTACTTCAGACAGAAATAGGGGCGGTGGGGTAGCCTAATGGTTAAAGCGTTGGCTCGTCACGCCGAAGACCCGGGTTCGAATCCCCACATGGGTACAATGTGTGAAACCCATTTCTGGTGTCCCCCGCCGTGATGTTGCTGGAATATTGCTAAAAGCGGCGTAAAACCAAACTCAGTCAGTCAGTCAGACAGAAATATTATGAGTCAGCATCCAGGCTACGCAAACATGCATAATCACTTACCCTGACCAACATGTAAGAACTAAACTATATTTAAAATCAAAAGGGGCGGTGGCGTATAAACAATCTGTGTCAGTTTTAGATTTTTCTTCCCTTTAGGGGGCGGTGGTGTAGCCTGGTGGTTAAAGCGTTCGCTCGTCACGCCGAGGACGCGGGTTCAATTCCTCACATGGGTGCATTGTGTGAAGCCTATTTCTGGTGCCCCGCCGTGACATTGCTGGAATATTGCTAAACTTGAAGCGGCGTAAAACCATACTCACTCAGATATATACAATAGATCCTAGTTACATGATGGATATGTCTTGAATAATATATAATATACATTGATATTAATATGCAGAACGGTTTTTGCCTCTTTTCAGTATATTTTTATATCATACATAGCTGAAGTATTTTACAGATCATACATGTGTTTGGGCTCCACACGAGATTCCCTGGATGAAACAAGACAGTATCATCCACACAGACAAACAGTCGCTGTTAAGGGAAACAAAGGTATATTATCAATCCCATAAATAATAAAAGAAGCGGTTATATACGAGTTTTGGCAGTCTATGGGCATCTGGAGAATGGTGTTTTCTTCTCTAATGAAATCTAACACATACCGCTATGTACACTCTGGGCTAAGGCTAAGCCGTGCGCTCTACCGATAAACTCGTTTACTATGAGAGCGAACACCGGTCCGCGCGTATAGCATATGCTTGCTGAACGGATTTCTCTCCACCTGTAGATCGCATTTTTAACATATCTACAATGTAATTCATAAAGTACGATTTCAATACAATATATTATTAAAATGATTAATAAAGTTACATGACATATGACATGGAAAAAAATCTAACATACAGGGGTATATTAATTGTATGAATACAAATGTGCCCTTTTTGTCTATTTTCGTTTTCAAATATGCGGATAGCTTGTTGTAGATCAAGCAGAAAAAATGTAAGTTGTTTACAAAATGTCACATTTTTTCATGTTAAATACACCTAAGTGATCAAAAGAAAATTCACGATCATTTCCCTTACAATCCCCAGACCATAGTTCACGCTGGTATGCACTAAGCTCAGAAATAGCTGTGCTCATTTGAAGGCTATTTTACCCTGTACTATAGATACGTTTGCAGTGAGGGTAACAATTGAACCATTTTGTCTTGAAAGCCAGGAATAAAGGCATTCATGGGAATAATAGCCCTTCTATAATGCACGTCTACCTTAACACACGGTGGGCTGGGGATCGCCGGTACCGTTCACAGAGAGCGTGACAGTTCTTATTTATACCCCAGTGTGAATAGCAATGCCTATAGTACTTTCACTGGAGAATGCCCCGCATATACAGTTAGCTTTATTATGAAGCCATTGAATAGGTGAACGCCAAACCCGTACCCTGGAAGCGGTGCGAGAAGCGATCAGAGACCGTGTTCCTCACGTCTCGAGTAATAACGGTATAATCCCCTTTCTCTGTGTGGCTGCATTGCTATGCGTACCGTTATCCACGGGACGATTTCATCAAGGAAAGCGCAAGTTTGTTGCGTTTAGCAAGCTTGCTAATTAACGGTGATTATCGATGAGGGTTGGTTGCGATATGAATTGATTTGGTGAGAGTATATGTGCGTCTCTCGTGTCAGATTCATTCATTGACAGCCGAGTCGTTCATAAGCTTACCCGACATCCAGCGCGCGGCGACTGGTTGTAATTGACCCACGAGCTGTGGAGAGTGTGCGGTGAGATGTGTGTGTGTATGAACTGGCGAGGATACGGTAGAGAGACAACCCTGATTTGAGCGTCTGTGATTCTATGTAATTTAACATAGTCTCTTCTCACTGGCTTAAGACGCAACTCACCTGGACTGTAGGATCAAGCTGCGTTATGTTACTGCATCGTTGACTGCAATCGGCTGCGACTAGACGACCGCGACTGCGAATACACAAGTCTTATAGTACAGATAGTGTGGATGCCTTAGAATGCTTATCAAGCGTCCGGAATATACCTTAACTTTGTAAATATAGCATTTACAAGTTTACCCCAAGGAGTCTTTGTGTAGAATCGCTTATGTGAGTATTTGGATAATCATCAAATTCTGAACATGGCCACCTGTCCTTTCAAAGAGGGATTAGAACGCGACAGGGCTAAGCTCTTACAACGCTCTCACAGTGGACAAAAAATTGAAGATGGACAACCTGAGCGACGGACTAGTAACCAGACTAGTTCCTCGGACGAGTCCCCGAGATCCAGGAAAATAAGTAACATCTCTACTGCTTCCTCTGGAGGGTCGGACGAAACAGCGGACGGGTCAGTGGACCGGATAATCAGCTTAACTGGACTTATTGAGGGCGTTGGAACGCTCGTCATCCCAGCGGTAAGTCACTTAAACCTTTCTATTCACCAATAACTCCATAAAGCGGGCAGATAGCGTAAACGAAACGCTCTTTATTGTCAGCTGGAGCAGGTCTCTTACTCGAGGTAATCGGTTTAACAGGTGTCTGTAACACTGTGCATGTCGGACATTACACTTTCCTATACTGGCTCTTATCTATGGCATTATGGTCGGTAGATGTGTGGATTATCGGATGATGATGATGTAACGAGACGATGCAGATAATTAGCTTGTTGTTGTTTAATAATAGATGACAAAATGTCGCTTAACCAGGGTTGGCACATGCAGTTATAGAAGAAAATGTTATTTTTGTTATTGTTGATTTATCGTCACATGTTTACAATAGCAAATTTTCAAACACACACCACATTCATTCAACATGAAATATAGACCCTTTCGTTGGCAGTATAAAATGGGAGAACATTTATTGGCCCTTGAAGTGTATACCTCTCGAGAGGAAATATTTTTCCTATCTCGAGAGACTTTAACATTTCAGCTAAGGTTACATACTTGATAGGTCAACGACGCTTGTTCTTATGTAACTAGCTGCTTGAGTTAACAAAGTCAGTGTTTGGTTTAGATTTATGGCAACCTGTTTGAGGTCATGCAACGTCGTGTTCAACTGTCGTAAACACAGCACGACATCTGCATAACTCCTTGTTATGTTTTGTCGTGGATGGACTCAAACAATGGCCATCGTCTTTGTACCGAACCACGTGAGGCTAACGGTAATTACACCTGCCAGTATGACGCTCTACATCTCAGTGATTCTTACACAACTCGTCGTCAATTTGTGTAACTTTCGCCGCTGTTTTGACTTTTACAACTAGTGGTATCTGTCTTGGCAAATAATGGAAACTGGTTGTTCTTTTTCGTTGAGGGACGGTGGGTAGCGTAGTGGTGAAAGCTTTCGACCCGGGTTCGAATCCCCACATGGGTACAATGTGTGAAGCCCATTTCTGGTGTCCCCCGCCGTGATATTGCTGGAATATTGCTAAAATCGGCGTAAAACCATACTCACTCACTCACTCACTCTTTTGTATTGGTGTGTATATTTATGAATAAAAATGAATATATTATATACACAATAATGGCGATAGGTTTAAATGGACATTTTTCTCGTTTAAAAACTTTGCTTTTACCTGTGACAGATTTTTATCATTAAGTAAACACATCATGTAAACGTACTCATTATTTATTCACATTCGAGCTAATATGATCATATCATTGTCATGTGGGTATATTTACTGATACATTCTTTAGCGTCTGATATGTTCAAATGCACCTGGGTTACCTATTGATTCTGAGAGGCATGGTATACTTCAGGAATAGTCCGTGTAGAGAAAAACGATTCAGCCTGCTACACTACACATGCTTCCAACACTACGGCTACTTTTCCTCTTCCGCGGGGGCAGCAGATCAATGATATCGACTGATACAATACTAGTAGTGATTAGATCCCATTGCCCACGGGAACGTCCTGGTACCGAGACCTTGGACAAAACAGATGGTACTTCATATTCTACGTCATATTCGTAATTCGTGTTCCCGAAGACACAATTTTGTTGTTTAACGGCATCTTCCTTCTTGGATAATAACTTGAAAAAAACACCTGTCCGTAATATAGAATGAACCTCGTTAATCCGAACGGAACCTTTACCCGTGAAATCGTCCGGATTATAGAAAGATTCTCACGGAATATAGTCCTTTGTATGTAGAAGTTCTAAATCGGAAAGTTGGGTGTCCGGATACACGAGGTCGGTTTAAACGGGGTTAGAAACTAACGTGCCATTCTATGATGTCACATATCACATAGGGGAGGCGTCTATTCATGATTTGACATAGCTGTAAAAAATACGTTAGTTTAAACATATTTGATAAGGATTGGGGACAAGTTCTTACAACTTATAAACCCCCCTACAAAACAGTTTGTTTTCTTGATTTGGGCCTTTAGGTAAGTATTACAGGTCATCGGTTTACACCAGCGTGAATGTGCTCTATGCCACGGTTACCATTACTAATTCTGAAGAAACCATTACCTATAAGACAAGCAAGTGAATGATAACAAGAGCAACAGTTTACGACAATGAGGCGCAAAGATGCACAAGTTACACTCTCTGAACAGCCCTATCGGCTAAAAATAACAACTGGATACGTTCTCCAGTATCACTACGAGGTGAAAGGCCGTTGAACTGTCATGAGTGAGTGAGTGAATTTGGTTTTACGCCGCTTTTAGTAATATTCCAGCAATATCACGGCGGGGAACACCAGAAATGGGCTTCACATTATTGTACCCATGTGGGGAATCGAACCCGGGTCTTCGGCGTGACGAGCGAACGCTTTAACCACTACGCTACCTCACCGTCCCTTGAACCGTCATGACATCGATCTATGAGATACATATATATCCAGTTGCTTTAATTTTATCCAGGTGCCAGTCAAATTGCAATAACCACATTTATCAGTTAGTGACAAGGGTCTTGAGGTGGTCAAGTGGTTAAAGAGCTCGCTCATGTCGCCGGAAACCGGGTTCGATTCTTAACATTGATACAACGTGATAATCCCATTTTTGTATCCCCCAGTCATATATGTTCGAGATATTTATACATGCGGGGTAAAACCCATTCACTCCAATCAGTGTGCATGTTGTTTAACGCCGCATTCAGCAACATGACAGCAATATGACAGCAATATATCTTTAGATAGATGAGTCTGGATTTTTGACTAGACAATCAACTTCAAGCATTCAGTCATGGATTATGTGTTCAGGGATTGTGTGATATTTCAAATAACCGCTATTTCCTTGATGGTGTTTGTGAAAAGTCCCTGGTCGTCTATGTTCTTCCTTGTGGAGATCCGATTGTTTCCATCGTTAAAGTGAGTGAAAATGATTTTACGCCGCTTTTAGAAATGTTCCAGCAATATCACGGCGGGGGACACCAGAAATGGTCTTCACATATTGTACCCATGTGGGGAATCGAACCCAGGTCTTCGGCGTGACGAGCGAACGCTTTAACCACCGGGCTACCCCATTGCCCATCCATTGTGCAAGAGGTGATCCCATCTTTAACCTATAACAATTTACGTAATCTTCTTCTTATCAAACCTGCTGTCCGATTACTTCACGAGCTCCTAATCAGGGTCTTCTTGTATCTTACCAGTCGTAGCTCCTTACACGGGTGCTCTGCCGATAAATGCCGAAACGAGGCCATATATTGCTCTTGTTTATTTCTTTGTCCATGTCCGACCACAGTGACTGGGATCAGTGTCTAATGATTGCGACAGAAAATCACGTCGATGCAGTCGCACGACATCGTCAATAAACGCTCACATCACTTTGGCTCGAACTGTATTGACTTTCGTTAAGAGATGCTGTTTTTATTGGAATCGTGAAAGGGTCAAAGAAGCTAATGGCTTATGCGCCATTGCTTCCATAGAGGTGCGCTTGTCTTGGCTGATGAAAGTGACGATAGGGCGACAGAACAACACGTAATCGATTACATCATCGATGTATATGTTTCATCAACGGTGACTGAGGGGCCTATTTTAAATATTCTTGGGACGCGGTCTAGGATATTTCCTAATGCCGATATTGTTTACGGTGACTGCCAAGTATAGTGAAAATAGTGTTGAACATTGTAATCACATCATTTTTTCTCATAAAAACCCAGGGGCGGTGGGGTAGTCTAGTGGTTAAAGCGTTGGCTCATCACGCCGAAGACCCGGGTTCGAATCCCCACATGGGCACAATAAGTGAAGCCCATTTCTGGTGTCCCCGCCGTGATACTGATGGAATATTGCTAAAAGCGGCGTAAAACCAAACTCAGTCAGTCAAAAACCCATGGTCCTCAGACTATCAGTCCCTTGACTATCAATGGGTGTCATTGTGTTGCCGTTCTGTTTCAAGACGGACCCTGATTGGAAAGTATGAAGGAAAGTTTCAGCTTGACTAACACTTCAGACAGTCGATTCTCTGGATACATTACCTTCCGGGGTTGAAGTTGATCACAAATAGATATCATACTCGTCTGCCTCCTTGTTTCGTGAAAAAGCGAACGCGTTAACCCAGACTATTGAAACCAAGTGGTACAGGGTAATAAAAGTCCATTCTGTCCGTGTGAACTCTTCATTTGTAGTTCTTACAAGGCTGTGGAAGTAATCTCAACACGAGATGTGCCTTTACGCCTCAGTTGGGAACTGTTTGGCTCAAACATTGCGTTTGGAGTAGCGCACTGCGAGATGAAACTGGAGATGTTGCCACAAGACATGTCCATTGATTAGCTTGGTGTGGGAGACTCTTCAAGCTGTGGGCCTGAGCTGGTCGGACACCTGGTGAGCGTTGAGATGACGTGACGAAAATATCCGCCGCTGCAGACGTTGAGAATATGATCCCGTAACGAGGGGAGACGTTGAGAATATGAGCTTGTGACAGCAAGGAGACGTTGAGAATATGATCTTGTGACGGCTGGGAGTCGTGGAGAATATGATCTTGTAACGGAAGTAAGACGTGTAGGGAATATGATCTTGTGACGACAGGGAGACGTGGAAAATATGATCTTATGACGAAAGGGAGGCGTGTGAGAATATGATCTTGTAACGGAAGTAAGACGTGTAGGGAATATGATCTCGCGACGGAAGGGAGGCGTTGAGAATATGATCTTATGACGGCTGGGAGACGTGGAGAATATGATCTTGTAACGGAAGTAAGACGTGTAGGGAATATGATCTTGTGACGGCAGGAAGATGTGGAAAATATGATCTTGTGACGGCAGGGAGGCGCTGAGAATATGATCCCGTGACAGAAGTAAGACGTGTAGGGAACATGATCTTGTGACGGCAGAGAGAGAAGTTGAGAATATGATCTTGTGACGGCTGGGATACGTGCATATGATCTTGTAACGGAAGAAAGACTTGTAGGGAATATGATCTTGTGACGGCAGGAAGGCGTTGAGAATATGATCCCGTGACAGAAGTAAGACGTG